AATGGCATGCTTGAATAGATTCAACTTAGAATCTCTAAACTTCATCCCCCCATCACCTCACTTATCAAGTGTAGACCTTGATTCTCTTCATCTCTTCATAGAAAGCTTTGTTTGGGGTACTGGTATGATCTCCTGGTTTGAGATCACCATGAGATTCAGAGAAAACTGGAACAAAGAGTAACACTGAGGTACTGGGATGGCTAATGCTACCCCAAACAAGAGTATAGAAAGAAAGGCATGATGGTAGGTGGCGGATACTGTTCCCGTGCTGAATCCTCAAGGATAGTGAACAGCCACATGAGTAATCAGTTATACATCCCGCCGTGCTGCTTGCCTGAAAAGGCTTCCAAGTTTATCATTCTTTTTAGCTATCGTTTACTGACTACTGACCACAGATCTGTGCTAAGCACTTCATATCTGATATGGTTTGGCTTTGTGTTCTCACCCACATCGTAATCCCCATAAGCCAAGGGAGGGACCTGGTGGGAGGCGACTGGCTCATGGGAGCAATTTCCCCCATGCTGTTCTTGTAACAGTGAATGAGTTGTCACCAGATCTGATGGTTTAAAAATGTCTGGCAGTCCCCACTCCCCTTCACCCAGTTCTCTCTCGGTAAGAACCAAATTACCACCATTTACAAGAGAAACAATTGAGATATGGAGAGTTTAAGTCACTTATCCAAAATCATACAACTATTATATGCCAAAGTCAGAATTTGAATCCTGGTCCCTAAACACTGGAGTGTACATTTTTATGCTATGCTATCTCCCATGGGAATAAAGACATTTTACACACACACACACACACACACACACACACACACACACACGAAACCCTCCTCCATGGACCTAACTGTTAAAATTAGGTAAAACTGTCTAATTATACAAATGTAAATGTCTAGGTAAATTAAGTAGAGGTCTAATTAGAAAATTAGACATTTTCTAGCTCTACAGAAGTGATAAAGGAAAAGTTCTTTGGAATGACCCCAGAGATTTGATGCTATGCAGTTGTAACTGTTACACAATTGACTTTTACTATAAGAACAGTGGTTCATACTCGTAATCCTGCCACTTTGGGAGGCTAAGGCAAGTGGATCACTTAAGGCAAGGAGTTCAAGACCAGTCTGGCCATCATAATGAAACCCTGTCTCCACTAAAAATACAAAAACAGTCAGGGATGATGGCTCACACCTGTAATCTGAACTACTCAGAAGACTGAGGCAAAAGAATTGCTTGATCCTGGGAGGAGGAGGTTGAGGTGAGCTGAGATCAAGCCACTGCACTCCAGCCTGGGCAACACAGCAAGACTCTGTTTCAAAAAAAAAAAAAAAAAATTATAACTATTTCATATCATTTTGTATAGTTCTCTAAATATAAATATAAATAAAAATCTCTTCATGATGTCAATCCTGTACCTCCCCAATAAGGTTATAAAAAGGTCTGGAAAAAAAAAAAACTGTATATTTCTTATGTGTTCTACAAATTATAACTATAAACAAAAACGGATCTTATAACTAATAATAATGATTATAACAAATACTTACATTTCCTAGATGCCAGGCACTATTCTAAGCCCTTTACACTTAGTAACATTTACTGTAAGACAGGTACTACTACTATCCGCATTTTACAGGTGAGAACAATGAGGAAGTTGGTAGATTTAAGACAGACACAAATTCTCTGATGCTTCTCCCATGGGATGGTGGAATCTAGGTCTCCTTCCCTTGAATCTGCACAGGCTCCTCCTTAATCAGATTCTGTGCTTATAAAGCTGTGCTCATTTCCCCGGCCCAGGCCTTAAGAGCTAACAGCTTTCACTTTCCATCTTTTGGAACACCGGCTATGGAAGGCCTGAGCCACCTGTAAGATGCTCAACTAGAGATAATGCATGGAGGCAGAGAAGGGTTCAGCTGGCTCCCAGAGAAGCCATCCTGACCTCATCAGGCTACCCCCCCCCTCCAGCTGAATGCCACTGAGTGATCCCAGTTGCCACCACATAGAATTGAAGAATTTCCCAGGTGACACCTGCCTGAATGCCTAACCCACAGAATTATGAGATAAAATAGTTTTTAAGTCACTAAATTTGGGGATAGTGTGTTACACAGCAATAGAAAACCTGACCATGTATAGAGAAGATGGTCACACAGCTAAAAAGTAATAGGTAAGCAATAAGGGACAGAGGTGGGATTCAAAGCCAGGGAATTTGACACCAAAGCCACACTCATAACCACTATTTCCTTTGATCGGAAGCAGTTGCCTCTTCAGTCTACTGCCTAAGCCTGATCGTCCAGGTAATCCCACAGACAAGCACTGCGGTAAGGGACTGCACAGTTCAGGACTAATGTGTGCTACACAAGGTGTTGTAGTGTGACAGAAGGAGCACAAGGTTCTCTTCCATCTTTGCAGCTAACTCACCTGGTGACAAGCAGCAAAGATTTTCTGTGGTGAAGACATGGACTCCATCTGTCTTACTGAACAATGTATCTCTGGTACCTAGCAGAGTGTCTTTCACATAGTAGGCACTCAATACATATTTCTGGATGGATCAGACTCTGGGCCTCAGTTTTTCATCCATAACAATGGAGGAGTTCCCCACTGGACTAGATGAGCTCTAAGGTTTCTTCTTGTTCTAAAAGCTACAGATCTGTACAAGGAATGTGATGGTGGAAAGATGGTATGAATGGCATCAAACAACAAAAATATTGGGGGTAAAGAAACAAGAAAAGGCTTACATCAATGTGAATGAAGAAATGCTTCTAAAGGAAACAAGAGCCAGAATGGAGTTTCAACCTGCAGAGAAGACTCCTAGAGCAGAGGCCCCTCAATTCTACCAACAGGTCAAATACTACTGGATAGAATTTGTGGATGTTTTCTCAGCTGAGCCATTAATAGATTACTTCTCCAAGGGCCCACAGTTCACACACCTTATTTACCAAGCTTACCTTAGAGGGCTCCTAAGGAGTCTGCCCATCATCATACTTTCCAAATGGCTTACTCATAGCCCCTCACCTCCACCCAACTCAGAAAGGCACTGGCTTGAAGCAAACAAACTTGGAGTCTTGTCTTAGCTTTATACTGGGAGGGCCAATTCAGTTAAACAGATATTCTGTGCCTAATATGTACAACAGATTGTCGAGAGGACTGAATGCTGACAAGTAGTTCCCTGCCTGTACCTCAGTTTTCCATCACTCACCTAACTTTACAGAGGGCCCGTTATACTCTAGGCACTGAAGGTAAAATGGCAAACACATCAGACATGGTCATCCACGTCTTCATGAAGCATCAGTCTAGTGGGAAAAACAATTGTCACACTGTACCAGAGTTATTAAATGGAGGAAGCAGAAATTAATTTGGAAGGAAGGGTCACGGAAAACTTCCCGGAAGACACATCTAGGCTGAAACATGAGTTAAGTTTGCCAGACAAAAAAAGAGAGGGCTCACCCTCTTTGAGGTTTCAGGGGGACAAAATGGGAAAAAAAAAAAAAAAAAAGCAGGAGAGCACAAACATGACTGAAGTACACATATGTGCCCTGAACGCAAAACAAAAAAAACAAAAAAACAAACAAACAAAAAAACACCTTAAGCACCCTGCTTTTAAGCCTCTTGTCCATTCTGTCACTTCTGTTGGAAAACATATCCCTCCTTGTCCATTCTTGTGAATTCCTTTCGTTATGGGTAAACTGTGTTCCCCCAGAACCACAGAATGTGACTGTATTTGGAGATCAGGCTTGTAAAAGGGTAATTAAGTTACAATGAGGACATTAGGGTGGGCCCTAATACAACCTGACTGATGTTCTTATGAAGAGAGGAAATCTGGATACAAAGAGAGACACCAGAGATGGGGAAACACAGAGGAAACACCATGTGATGACACAGCAACGAAGTGGCCATCCGCAATCCAGGGAGAAATGTCTCAGAAGAAACCAAACCTGATGACACCTTGATCTTGGACTTCTAACCTCCAGAACCGTGAGAAAATAAATTTATGATGTTTAAGCCACCCGGCATTTTATTTGCAGCCCTAGGAAACGAATACAGCTTCTATTCCAGGCCCAACACTGCTCATTTCCAGAGTGAAACCTTCCTTATCACCCACATACACACACCTTGGGGTTAAGGTTTCTCACAACACTCTGTGCATCCTCCATTCAACTTTCATTCATTCCTTTAAGCAACAAACGCCTAGTGACCTACCACTGTATGCCAGACCCCTGTCTTAAGGGCTGAGAACAGCTAACGTGTATTGAGCACTTACTAAGTGACAGCCACTACTCTAAGCGATTTACAGGCACAACTCATGAAATCAGACAAGGTTCCAGCGACGCAGGTGCCGCTATGATACCCGCTTTACGGATGCCGTGCTGAGGCTCAGAGGGGCCACACCGTAATGAGACTGGGCTAGGCTGTGGGTTCTGCAGTCTTAAGCACTACTCTCAACTACAGGGTGGAAGGAAACAGGAACCGAGAGATGGGCAGCGCGGGGCGGAGGCGGGTGGGGCTGGCTTCCTGCGGGCAAAGCCTGGAGATGAGAGGACGCGGGTGGGGTGTCCAGGCCGAGGGAGCTACAAGAGGGAGAAGGCCCGGCTCCCAGGCCCGGAACCTGGCCCTCTGGGTCTCATTCCACGTCCCCTGCGATGCCCGGCACAGAGCAGATGCCCGCTGACTCCCGCGGGGGCCGCCAGCTCCGCGGTATCCTCCAGTGCCCTGCGATGCGGAGGGAGCGGCGGGTCCATGCCCTGCTGGGCCACCCTCGGACGCTCGGCCTGCCTCCCCTTCCGGGCCATTCCCACCCTCGCCAGCCCCGCATGCCTTCGCGAGGCCGGCCCCCTTACCCTCGGAGGCCGCTTTCTGTCCCGTCGCCTATTCTACACCTGCTGCCTCTGTCCTCAGGCCCGCTCGCCGGTCTCGGCCGGCCGCGGAACCATCCCGACCACGCCCCCTTGGCTTGCCGGAACCGCCCTCCTGCTTCCGTTGGCGTCACTTCCGCCGGGTGGAGGGGTGTGGTCCTGGTGCGCAGGCGCGCTGGGTGGCTCCGGAGTGAATTCTGCGCCGCGAAGCGTGAGAGGCCGGTAGCTGCTGCGCTGGGCTGGCGGCGGCAATTCCGCGTGCTCCCTGCGGCCGGTTGAAACCGTTGGCGGGCGCTGGCTGAGAGGTGAGGGACGGTGGCCCAGAGGTCCGACCTAGATGGCTGGGGCTCAGAGAGTGAGTAGGGGAGGGACGGGGTGGCCGATGCAGGCGTTTCCACTGTCGGCTCCTCTGGCATACGCCTGGAGGAAGGAGTTCCATTCAGATCTTATTCGTGCTCTGGGGTGGTGGCGGGAGTCCTGCACTTAGGGTCACCAACTTGTTTTAGTTTTAAAACTGAAAGTCCCGCGTCCTGGGAACCCCCTCGGGCCTGGCCAAACCCGGACGGTTGGTCACCACCCGACTGGGCTTCAGGTTTGCTGCATGTTGGGGACAGGGCTCTTCTCTTGAGTCTTGGGAGCTCAGTCCCTAAGGAGGAAGCCTTAGGACGTGGAGAACCAGAGAACGGACTTAGGGCCGGAATAACTTGCCTCTGAATCTGGGTCGCCATCACCTGGATGGGTGATAACCTGGTGTAAGTTTTTTAACTTCTTTGCGCCTCAGTTTTCTCATCTGTCATAACATATAGAACCTAACTCGGAGGACTGTGATGAGGATTATATGAGTAGAAATGTGTTAACCTCCTATGAGAGGGCTTGGGTGCCCCATAAATGTTAGGATTCTCTGCAGCACCTCCCTCTGAGGAGAGAGGAAGGGGAATGAGGTGGGTGTGTATTTGCAACCCGACTTTCCTGCAGACAGGTCCAACTTGGGACTTACTCACACTGTGCCCCAGGCTCCCAGGGTCTAGCATAGTGCCTGACACAAGACAGTTACTCGACTGAAGGGATGGTGTTTAAAACAGTGCTGGTGATGTAGTGGGTGGGGTGGGAGGCAGAGAGACATGGCTTCTGTAAGCCTCAGTTTATCTGTTTAGCGGAGATGGGTGCACTTACTTCCTAGGGCTTTTGCAAGGAACAAAGGAGAGGTCCTCTCCTTGTCAGTGTCCCCCGTTGTAACCCTTGTCAGCCCCACATGTAAAGGTTTAGGTAGGATGGTGGACAGAGTATGTCTGTGCTTTCTCCCACACCACACCCATGGTTTCTCACAGTGCTACCCATGGAAGGGGCTTGAGTGTTGTCTGGTTGGCCTGACTTATTGTTTCACAGATGAGAGAACTTAAAGTTTAAAGGGGCAGTGGCATGCTCAGGGTCACAGTGCTCAGTGGGGGATGTCCTGGGGTTGCCAGCCAGACCCCTCAGGTGGGCTGTTTCAGTGGTGGTAATGGTATGCAGGTCAGTGTCTGTCTGTGCATGAAAGGATATTTTAAGAATAGCCGGCCAGCCGCTATGGTTCACTCCTGTAATCCCAGCACTTTGGGAGGCTGAGGCAGGTGGATCATCTGAGGTCAGGAGTTCGCCACCAGCCTGGACAATGTGGTGAAACCCCGTCTCTAAACTAAAATACAAAAATTAGCCGGACGTAGGTTGGCGCGCACCTGTAGTCCCAGCTACTGGGGAGGCTGAGGCAGGAGAATCCCTTGAACCCGGGAGGCGGAGTTTGCAGTGAGCTGAAATTACACCACTTCACTCCAGCCTTGGCGAAAGAGCAAGACTGTCTCAGAAAAAAAAAAGATAGTCAATATTGTTTTTGTGAAAAAATTTAATAAATAATACAAAAATATAGAGGGAGGAAGGTTAAAAAAAAATCATTCCCATCCCAGAACCAAACCTAAGGGCATCTTATCAGGGCACATAGTGGTCGAGTAGGCACCCATGGGGTGAGGAGCCAGAGAAGGTTGGAGTGAATTTATAAAGATAAATGGGTGGGTTGATGGTCATATTTAATGGAGCAGGGGCTTGGGAGAGGGCTGGGTGTAATGGCATTTATGTGCAGATTAGTAGGTCACAGAGAAACCTTTCTACAGTTGGGCAGTCTGGTGTCTTAAAACTTTCCACCCAATGCTTTGAGTTAGGTATTAGATCCATTTTGTAGATAAGCAGATTCTTGGAGGTTAAGATGCCTTGAGGTCATTTAGTTTTTAATGACTTTTTTGGCATTAGCAGACCCTCTACCCAAGTCAGGGCCCGGTCCAACAAAACCTGGCAACCATCTTGTTAAGAGAAACCTGTCAAGTTCCCAGTCCCTTACTGACCACTGGCTGCTGTCACTCAGCTAGCTTTGCTGCCCACCTGACAGCCTCTCCTGTGACATGGGTGGTCTCCTTGCCCACTGCGCACAGGCTTTATAATTAAGGCTTAGGTTTCTAATATTGATACATGGAAAGTCATATTGTGGAGGCTTTAATTTTTTTTCTCTTTGGACAAGGGTCTCAGGGTCTCAGATTCTGAGTAAAAGCCAAGCAAACAGCCAGGACACAGCAAGTCAAGATGAAGGCAAGATGGGAACCTGAGCTTGTTGCCTGGTCTTTCAGGCTACCTGTCCCACTTACTGTGACTTTGGGCAGTTCACTTACCCTCCTGCGCCTTGAGTTTTCCCTCCAGATGGTGGTGGTATGATCATAGAAGTCGTGGCGGACATAAATGGGACATGGCTTTGTAGAGAGCTCGTGATCATGTGTTCTATTGTGCAGACTCCGTCATCTTTTTTGTGGGTATGGCGTGTGATGAGAGCTCAGTAAACTGACCGTACAGACAGAAGAGGAGGCAGCCAGAAGTGCACGTGGAGTAACTGAGTGAGGGCCCCAGGCTATGCTGTGGTGGATAGCATACCGACAGCATTCAGGAAATGTCTGCTGAACTGAACTAAAGTGACTTACCTGGGGCAAGAACGGAAGTATGCCCTCAGCCAGTCCAAGAACACCACCTTCTGCTTGCTGTTCTCTTTTAACATGCCCACATGGCTAGAAGGAAAGCATGTGGAATCTCTGTGGCTGCACTGGAACTGGACATTGGGCATAGGAAGTTGAGCCGGGGAAGGAAAAGAGGACTCTGTTTAGATCCAGCCCCATAAAAAACTGCCGTGTTTTTACACTTAGGGCTAAATGTTGAAATCTGTCCCATCTGAGCCTGGCAGACAGAGTGTCTTCAAAGTCTCAATGCAGTTTTAAGCTTTCATAATTTCATAAGCATAAATGCTGCATACTTGCCAAAAGCGTCATTTGAAAGTTTAATTAAATTTCCTTTATGCTTATCTAGTCCTGTGGAATTTGAATAATACCATTTTACTTTACTGTTTGAGGCAATGTTTGCTGTCTTCCATTAGAGGGACTGAATTTCCACATGACGGCTTTTTGTAAGTTTGTAGCATTTACACTTATCTTATGAATATTAAGCCTGCTGTGCAGTTATGCTGACTTTGAAGGTTTTGATGGTTTTGAGCTTTTCTTTGAAGTTCTAGCAAGTGTTTATGGCATAAATTACAGATATTTTCCCCTGGGGCTAGGTTGGGTTTGAGGTGTAATCGAGGTGACTCTTGGCCAGCTGCTGGGCTGTCCTCCAGGCCCTGAATAATGGGGAGGTAAGCTCCTTACAGACCTTGGCTCATTAGCCAAGCAAGTGGACACTCCTGTTCCCGTTTCATGGCATGTGTAAAATCCAGAGGAAGGCAGGAAGAGACAGAGTTCTGACTTCCTGTTCAATCCATCCATTCTGCCTTAAACAAAGACCAAATGAAAATGATGGGAGAGTTATTTTTTAGCTGGCAGGTAATCAGATTCTAATCATCTTCCGAATTGATATTAATTACACTGTAGCATGTGGCTAATCTCCAGAGAGCTCGAATGTTTTGCACAGATACTCTTGAGTATCTTTTTGTCAACATTACTGCTTCTTTCAGACACTATATTTGGTTTCCAGCTTCCTTCCTAGACCTTTAATTCCTGACCTGCCAGGACAGGAATCTCCCAATTGAATCTTAAGGCTTGTTGAAACCTTGCTTTCTCCTGTCTCCCTCTCCGTCGAGAGATAGAATTGTCCTGAGCAACAGAGGTTGGCAAGCTCTAAGCCATATCTAAGTCCAGGGACTGTTTTCTGTTGTTGTATCTTATTAGGAAAGTACTTTAAAGTTTTTCAGCAGATAATTTGGCATACCACAGCTGCTTTCACCTTGTGCCCGTGATGAGAATCTGTTTCTTGGTAATATTTATAAGTTATTCCTGCTCTTACACCAAAGTACACCTCCAGGCTCTTTGAGAATGCAGTGTTGGCTCTTGTTCAGCCTTTGATCTCCCCTGTCGGGCAGGATAGCCGCTCTTGTTGCCTGGCATGTGGAACATCCTTGGCTTTTTTTAGATGGTAAGCTTTGAGGGAGCTGGCTCATGGGAAATGTGGTTCCAGCTCCCAGGAGCCTGGCAGTATCACACATCTCTACAGTAACCAGATGAGAAGATGACAGTTGCTGCAGCACATCCAGGGTAGTCGTGTTTTCTTTCCCGAGGATTTGGTGCTAGGTTGTAGCTGACCGCATGCCCCCTGCTTACTAGCATACACTGATAGTAAGCAGAGGAGTGGGGTCTGGGACCCCGGGTCAGGGGTCTGTGGTTTGTGTGTAGCACAGAAGCTGAGCTGGTGTCTGATAGTGTCCCACAGGGCAACTCCACAAGAGACCAGCTGGGCCTCTGTAAACCCTGGCGATGCAGCCAGGATGTACATTTCCATTCAAGGCTAAATGGACATAAATAACCCTGGTCATTGCTTGGGTGTGACCTTACCAGCAGTGATCCAGAACATGGTGGAGGAGTGACGGTGTTTTCATGCTTGAGAATGCTCTGCAAAACAAGGGTGGATCTGAAAGACTGTTGGATGAAGTCCTTCCCTGAAGTAAATTACATCGGTTTACCTGACACTCACCTTTATTTTCACAATGAGCAAGAAAGCGCTGGGTTAAACAGTTCTCAGTATTTTTGCTGTGAAACATAATGTAAAACAATGCTGTTTTAAAATCTAGTGATTAAAACATTATGTAAGTGTGGAAAATCACTGTGACTTCTCTAACACTTTTAGATGAATGTGTGTTTCCTTGAGCACAGTAGCATTTCTGTGAAATTTTAAAATGATGTTTATGTACGTGTACAGACATACTTCATGCTGGAGGGCTCCCCAGGGTTCATGAACTCCTCCGGTAATTCAGCACCTAGCAGTTGGGACTCGTGGTTCCATTTCTTTCTGACTTGTCTGATGAGCTGCCACATGAAGGAGGCCCTTGTCCATTACGGCTGAGGCACATGTCCACATTTTAACATCTGTAGACGTATAGTAATATTGATATGAATGCTCTTAGTGCCATAGCAATTATGTCCATAAAATTGCCTCTTCTCCACTTTCTAAACTTCACTCAGTTTTCCTCTTGCTGTGTTCTTAGTATGTTTGAGGACCTGAAGTAGTTTGTAGTGAACACCTAAATTGCAGTGCGTTCTGTAAGTTTATATAATTGAGAGAGTTTAAGATATTAGGGAAAGTAAGATTTAACACCCTCAAAGCTCATCATCTTGAGAGCCAATCTGCCAGGTGTAAATCCTGGTTCTGCTAACGGAGCGTCCTTGGGCAAGTTACGTAATCTCTGCATCTCAGTTACCTCCTATAAATTCTGAACAATGATAGTCCTTCCATCATAGGGTTGCTGTGGGGATTTAATAAGTGAATACATGTAAAGCCCCGGGAATAGTGCCTGGCACAAGATAAGGACACAATAAATGTTAGCTATTGTCACTGTTAATGTTAGTTTTACTTATATGAATGGTGGAGTTTTATGTAGATTGCTAATCAACTTTGTTATTTTCATGTGAAATTATGGTTGAAAAGTTAGTTGCATGAGCCATTTATTGAAATGAGAAGCTTCAGTTTATAATGATAATTATCTTTTTTTTTAGGACAAGACCTAAAACCTGTCTTGGATAGCGAATATTTAGCCATTTACCTAAAATGGTATTTTTTACATGCAATGCATGTGGTGAATCAGTGAAGAAAATCCAAGTGGAAAAGCATGTGTCTGTTTGCAGAAACTGTGAATGCCTTTCTTGCATTGACTGTGGTAAAGATTTCTGGTAAGCTTCACAGAATTCATGTAGATCCATAGTAAATCCAGACCAGTTTTGGAAGCCTTGGCATGACAAAGCTTAGAAAAATAGTGGCAAATTTGAGGAAGTAAATTAAGAATAAAAACTGGTATGGTCCATTGATTAAAATTCATGTGATTCTTTACAATGTGCTTTACTAGGCTGGGTGCAGTGGCTCACACCTGTAATCGCAACACTTTGGGAGGCCGAGGCAGGCAGATCATGAGGTCAGGAGTTCGAGACCAGCCTGGCCAACATGGTAAAATTCCATCTCTACTAAAAAATAAAAAAATTAGGCTGGCATGGTGGGGTACACCTGTAATTCCAGCTATTCAGGAGGCTGAGGCAGGAGAATCGCTTGAACCCGGGAGGCAGAGGTTGCAGTGAGCTGAGATTGCACCATTGTACTCCAGCCTGGGCGACAGAGCAAGACTCCATCTCAGGGGGGAAATAAAATGTGCCTTACTAAACAATTTGCTTTTTGAGGATGTGTTAAAGAGACTAGGGGAAGGGGAATTATGATTCGAGCATGCAGTTGGTGACACTGGTTGCTATTGCATTGCCACTGTTACCAGACCCAGGGAAGCAACACTTGGAAGATGGCTCTAGGGGGTTAGAGCTGGTTTTGTTAGACCACGGGTATCGTGTGCCCATCACAGTGAAGAGATGGACTTATGAACCAGAAAGTGAATTTATGAGCTCACAGTGGGGCAGATGACTGATATGTCCTCCCTAGAAAATCAGAGCTGCTGGTGGAAGTGAGGCTCTTCCTGGCCCCCTGAGGGTGTCAAGAGATACTTCCACTGAGGAGGCCTCTGTGAAGGTAAGGAGTTAGCGGGGAGGGGCCGGACAGATCCTGACTTAGTCACCATTTCTTAAGGTGGGTCGTTTGCAGAGAGCTGCCCTCTTGAATTTCATGTTGATTCCCTTTTGGCTGCAGAACGTCCAGGCGAGAAGGTAGCTTCTGGCAGCATCTGCCCCGGTGTCCTCAGGCATTTAAGTGGTATTGGCAAAGAGTCTCTTAATTCACTGTAGAGCAGTGATTTTTTAGAAACTGCTAACCTCTGTTCAGACTTAATCCTAGGAGGAAGCTAGATATATAAAGTAGGTTAAAATTGAGTTTTCATTAGGGGACTTTGCCCTGGACCTTGTCCCCAACATTTCCCTGAAGAACCCCACAGAGCTTTACAAAGTTACGAGACAAAATTGAGTTTTTCCAGGACCCTAAGGTATCCAGAACTGTAGGAAATCTTGTACTGCCATTTTATACCTGTTTTTTTAATTTATTCTCCAACTAATTATTGACTGCCTAGTCTATTACCAGAAAGTCATTCATAATTTTTGTAATTTAAGAAGACTACCCTATTGCATACTTATTTTTGTGTTTATTCAGTATATATGCATTTATGACTAAAAAGTACTGCCTATCAATTTATTGTAAAGTGTTTATAAAAATGGGGGAAACATTTGGTGATGGGTTTGATATTGAAGACTTTGGAGGAAGCAGGATGTGGTTCTGACCAGGAGGTTTTCAACATAAGTGAAATAGATGGGTGCGTGTGTGGTAGACAGATGTGAAGATATACAGAGAGTAGTAGCAGCATGCTGGTATCGGTGCCTCCAACTTGGTGTCAGTCTAATGGGAGAACCTTTGATCACTTTAAAGGGGCGATGACTATAAAAACCACGTGAAATGCATAAGTGAAGATCAGAAGTATGGTGGCAAAGGCTATGAAGGTAAAACCCACAAAGGCGACATTAAACAGCAGGCGTGGATTCAGGTAATGTCTTTATAATTCGTTGAGTATCTTCCTCTGACACCTTCTGCTTTCTTTGGAAGCCCAAGAGACTAAGAATATATGTGTCATCCTGCAGACAAGCCCTGGAAACCTTATGTCCTAGGATAGACTGAGGTTGAACTAAAACTTCTTGAAAAAGAGTTCTTTGGCTGGGCACAGTGGCTCACACCTGTAATCTCAGCACTTTGGGAGGCCAAGGTGGGCAAATCACGAGGTTGGGAATTCGAGATCAGCCTGGCCAACATGGTAAAACCCCATCTCCACTAAAAATACAAAAAATTAGCTGGGCATAGTAGCAGTCTCCTGTAATTCCAGCTACTCAGAAGGCTGAGGCAGGAGAAGTGCTTGAACCCAGGAGGTGCAGATTGCAGTGAGCCAAGATCGCACCACTGCATTCCAGCACCAGTGACAGAGTGAGCCTCTGTCTCCAAAAAAAGAAAGAAAAAGAGTTATTTATTCTTCTAGCTGTTTAAACAATTGTGGTACATTATACCTTTAATGCATGTGTTTTGTTAATTTCTTGAAAAAAATAGTTTAGAATTCTCATTAGCTTTCCCTTGGCTGCAAAACTGAATGGAAGCCTTCTAATCTTTCCCTGCTTCTAGTGATAATGCAACTTTCTAACTCAAGCTGTGTTGATCTGTGATGTCTGCCAGTCATTAGAATTGGGCAAAATAAAGACACTTTGATCAATGTAAAGAATTTTCTACTTAACTAGAATAGCATGAAAACATGCACAATAGAAATGGCAGAAGCCTTGACTCCCTCGTTCACTGGGAAGCATAATTCTCAAAACGCTACTGATCCTTTACAGAATAGGTAGCAGGAGGACGGATTCAGAAAGGAAGGTGGGAGAACGCAAAGACCAATGTCATCTATGGGAAAATTCTGTTTTTCTAAAATCCAATAAAAAGTAATCACTCCATTTGATACTATAGTTGAAATGTAAATTTCTAGCTTACTTAATTAGCATACTACTAGGAAGGCATTTCTGTTCACAAAGGACTTACAAAGTCAGCCCAGAGCAGATTGAAAAGCCAGTGAAATCCTTTAGCTTAACTAAGATGTTTGCGTTTGCCTGCAGCCATACTTTTGGGCACTCTCTCTGTAATTCTCTAAAAACCAGATGACATTCCTAGGCCCTGAGGTTGAGGTACATGGGTCTGTGAGTTCCGTCTCTGCTGTTGTCACTCAATGAAATCCTCTAAAGCAGGGGTCAGTCAGCAAACTATATAGGCCACAGGTGGCTTGCTGCCTCTTTGTAATGAAGTTTTACTGGAACACAGCCATGCCCATTTGTTTATCTGTGGTCTTTGGCTGCTTTAATACTCAATGCCATAATAGTTATGGCGTTGTAGTGTGACAGAAACCTGCAAAGCCTAAATACTGTCTGGCGCTTTACAGATAAGGCTTGCTGACGTTTGGTCTAAACCAGACATCCCCCAACTAGGCCCGGGCCGCATGCGGCCCCCTGAGGCCATTTATCCGGCCCCCTGCCGCACTTCAGGAAGGGGCACCTCTTTCAGTGGTGGTCAGTGAGAGGAGCACAGTATGTGGCGGCCCTCCAGTGGTCTGAGGGACAGTGAACTGGCCCCCTGTGTAAAAGGTTTGGAGATGCCTGGTCTAAACTGTCAGGCTTCAGCAGCCCTCTCCAGAACTCACTTCTGCTTCTGTCATGGTCTCCTGGTTTCTCCCCGTCTGATTCCTGCCTGACTCCCTCATTGCCATTGTTCACAGATGGAGAAGAGTAAGTGTGGTCTGCAGGGGAATCACCTGGCCCAGTGTGGGGGTTTTGCTCTTTTCCTTAAATCATTAAACCCCACATTTGAAAAATAGAATTAAGGAATCTAGTCAGGAGGAATCCCTGTTCTCCGAAAGCTTTTTATTAGTAGATTGGGTGTTTTGAAGTCATTCATATTATAAAGGGCTCAGAATGTTGGTCCTTGGAGGGACTGTTTCTTCTTTCATCTGCAACTTGACCATTTTGTCTTTCATCTGACATCTGACTTCTGGCATTTCTCACAATTCCAAAAAGTTGCTACTTTCGAGCTGCCTGGATCCCACCCCATCTCCCATGTTCTATACTTGGGGCTGGTTGCTCTCAGACCGCACCCATTTTTATTTCTGACACTGTGCTCTGCTGCTCTCATTTTTTCCTGTTAATTTTTATTAATTTAATTTTTTTTGAGACAGGGCCTTTTTCTCTCGCCCAGATTACAGTGGTGCAATCACAGCTTACTGCAGCCTCGACCTCCTCAGCTGAAGCAATCCTGCCTCAGCCTCCCAAGTAGCTGTAGTACTACAGGCGCATGCCACCATGCCTACCTACATTTTTAAATGTTTTGTAGAGATGGGGTCTCACTGTGTTGCCCAGGCTGGTCTCAAACAATCTTCATGCCTCAGCCTCCCAAGTGCTAGGATTACAGGCAGGAGCCACTGTGATTTTTTTTTAGCCTTATCATTTTAATACAAAATAGGTGGATGTTAACCACTTAATAAAAATAGCTCCAGTAATACAGAAGAAGTCCAGAAAAGAAAGCAATACATAATCCCCAAATCAACCAGCCAGAAACAAGCGGTGTGAATGTGTGCTGAGCATCCTTCCAGATCCTTCCAGATGTCTCTGGGCTTACAAGCAGACTGCAGGTAGATGAACCAGGAGAACACCACTCTTAAATGGGTTATAGTGTTTTTCTCTAACCTGTGTCTCCACTGCCCCGTTCTTTTCTGAAAGGGCTGGCTGTTCCAGTGAGTGCTAAGGCAGCCTCGTTTTTGAATGTTCATGTTTGTCTTGTTTTCTTGATTTTTGTTTTTCTACTTGGGTGCCTGAAACAGCTTTGCCTTATGCTTGTCTTAGTATCCATTTTTCTTCTAGTCTCTTTATTTATAGATTCACTTCTTTCCTACTGCAGGGACATTTTCCTGCATTTTATTTGTTTAGCTCCAGCACTGATCCTTGTTTCCTGGTTGGTGACCATCCTTCATGTCTACTGTCATCTCTAACTTTAATAATTATTTTTTCCTCTTCCTTCACTGAGATTGCCAGACACAGAAAATTGAAATTCCTAGGTCACTATTTTTCTCTCTTATGTTCTTGCAATTTAAGATTAGATTTTTTTTTTTTTTTTTTTTTTTTTGAGATGGAGTCTCGCTCTGTCATCCAGGCTGGAGTGCAGTGGCACGATCTTGGCTCACTGCTGCAACCTCCACCTCCTGGGTTCAAACAGTTCTCCTGCCTCAGCTTCCCGAGTAGCTGGGACTACAGGCATCCACCACCACACCCAGCCAATTTTTATATTGTTAGCAGAGACTTCACCATGTTGGCCAGGCTAGTCTCAAACTCCTGACCTCAAGTGATCTGCTTGCCTTGGCCTCCCAAAGTGCTGGGATTATAGGTGTGAGCCACCACACCCAGCCCAGATTTTATTAGATCTTAATGCTTATTGTCTTAACCATAACCTAGTCCCTATAATACCCATTTTTTAAAATCACATTGTTTGTTTATTTTCCGTGGTAAAATACACATGATATAACCATTTAAACGCGTACAGTTAACACATTCACATTGTTCTGCAACCATCACTACCATCCACTTCCAGAATTTTTTTGTCTTCCCAAACTGAAGCTCTATCCCCAATAAACACTAACTCCCCATTCCTCCCATCCCCAACCCCTGGCAAAAACCATTCTACTTTCTGTCTCTGTGAATTCAGCAGCTCTAGGTACTCCATGTAAGTGAAATTATTCAATGTTTGTCCTTTTGTGACTGACTTGTTTACCTTCACATAATATCGTCAAAGTTCAGCCGTGTGTCACTATGTCCCTTTTATGGATGAAGAATTTTCTATTGTGTGTATATTTACCCAGCAGTGGGATTACTGGTAACTCTGTTTTTAATTTTTAGAGGAACCTCCGTACTCTTTCTGGAGCAGCTGTAGCATTTTACATTCTTACCAGCAGTGAGTGGACAAGGGGTTCAGTTTCTTCACAGCCTTGCCCACAAGGCTTATTTTCGGTTTTATTTTAGATAATAGCCATGCTAATGGGTACAAAGTGGTATCTCATTATGGTTTTGGTTTGTATTTCCAGCATCTTTTCATGTGTTTATTGGCTATTTGTATATCTTCTTTGGAGAAATGTCTATTCAGGTCCTCTGCCCATTTCAAAATTAGATTGTTTGTTTTGTTGTCGAGTTGTAGGAGTTCTTTATATATTTTATATATGGATTTATTTATTTCATTTGTAGAGATGGGGTCTTGCTTGTTGCCCAGGTTGGTCTCAAACTCCTGTCCTCAAGCCACCATACCTGGCCAGTACTTTAGATATTAACCCTTTATCAGATATGATTTTCAGATATTTTCTCCCATTCCACAGGTTGCCTTTTCACTCTGTTGATGGTGTTCTTTGACGCATATAAGTTTTTTATTTCAATGTAGTCAATTTGTTTTTTTTTTTTATTTTGTTGCCTATGCTTTTGGTGTAATAGCCTATAAGTTATTGTCTAGTCCAGTGTTGTGAAGCTTTTCCACTGTGCTTCTCTTCTTAGAGTTTATAGTTTTACCCCTTAAGTTTAGTTATTTAATCCATTTTGAGTTAGCTTTTGTGTATGATGTTAGGTAAGGGTCCAGCTTCATTCTTCTGCATGTGGATTATCTACTTTTCTTACCACCACTTGTTGAAATGGTCTTGGTTTTTCCCCGATTGAATAGTCTTGTTGAAAGTCATTTGACCATATATAAGAGGGTTTATTTTGGGGCTCTCTATTCTGCTGGTTTTATATCTCTTTATGCCCATACCACACTGCTTTGATTACTGTAGCTTTGTAATAAGTTTTGAAATCAGAAAATATGAGATCCACATTTTTGTTCTTCTTTTCAAGATTGTTTTGGCTATTTGGTATCCCTTGAGATTCCATGTGAGTTTTAGGATGGATTTTTCTATTTCTGCAAAAATGTATATATACACACATTGGATTTTGATGGGAATTGTTTCGAATCTGTAGATTGCTTGGTTAGTATTAACTTCTTAATAACTTTAAGTTTTCCAATCCATTAATACGGAATGTTTTTCATTTATTTGTGTCTGCTTTAATTTCTTTCAGCAGTGTTTTTTGGTTTTCAGTAAACAAGTCTTTTGCCTCTTTGGTTAAGTTTATTTTGATTATTCTTTCTGATGCTGTTGCAAGTGGAAATTGTTTTCTTAATTTCTCTTTCTGGTTCTTTCTTTTTGTTATATAAAATGCAGCTTGATTTTTGAATGTGTATTTTGTATCCTGCAACTTTGCTGGATTTATTTATTCTAACAATTTTTGTGTGAGCCCTTTAGGATTTTTGATATATAAGAGCACATCATCTGTGAACAGAGATAATTTTACTTCATCCTTTGCAATTAGGATGCTTTTTATTTTGTTTTCTTGCCTAAGTGGTCTGGCTAGGACTCCAGTACTATGTTTTTTTTTTTTTTTTTTTTTTGAGACAGAGTTTCACTCTTGTTACCCAGGCTGGAGTGCAATGGCACGATCTCGGCTCACCGCAACCTCCGCCTTCTGGGTTCAGGCAATTCTCCTGCCTCAGCCTCCTGAGTAGCTGGGATTACAGGCACACGCCACCATGCCCAGCTAATTTTTTTGTATTTTTAGTAGAGATGGGGTTTCACCATGTTGACCAGGATGGTCTCGATCTCTTGACCTCATGATCCACCCGCCTCGGCCTCCCAAAGTGCTGCGATTACAGGCTTGAGCCATCGCGCCTGGCCTCCAGTACTATGTTAATAGAAGTTAATCTATATATTTTTAAGCATAGACATAAATACAGAATCTGGGCTGAAAATGTGAACCCTTCAGGCATGGCAAGGACTTTTTTTATTGGCTTTCATGAAACTCATGTTGGTTGTTTATTGTTTTTCCTTTTTCTTCCTTTTCTGTAGAAAATTAATGAATTAATAAAGAGACCTAATGTCAGCCCCAAAGTGCGAGAACTTTTAGAGCAAATCAGTGCTTTTGACAACGTTCCCAGGAAAAAGGCAAAATTTCAGGTATGAATTGACTTTCTTGAATGAAGGGCCCATCAGTGACTGAACTTGTTTGTACCTGTCCAGGTGGGATCCATAGTTCTTTTTCTTTTCGTTTCTTACAGAACTGGATGAAGAACAGTTTAAAAGTTCATAATGAATCCATTCTGGAGCAGGTGTGGAATATCTTTTCTGAGGCTTCCAGCAGTGTAAGTCGGATCTGATTTTAGATTTGCAGTGTGGCAAAAATAATTAGTAATAACGAAATGAGGATTTCATGGTTTTGGAAGTTAAGACAGCCTTCTTTTTTTATTTTTTGAGATGGAGTCTCACTCCATTGCCCAGGCTGAGTGCACTGGCACCATCTTAGCTCACTGCAACCTCTTGCTTGGTTAGGGAAGAGTCAGGGCATCACAGAGGAGACCACATTTGAGGAGAGTGTTCAATGAGGTAGAAAGAAGCGGAATTGGTTCACTTGTTTACTCCCTCCTGGTGGCCAAGGAGTTGGTTTAGACATAGAGGCAAGGCATTAGCTGAAAACCTCATCTAGATTGTATAGAAGGGAGGCCGATGTCTCAGGCACTCCGTGGTTAAAGTAATATTTTATGGGTAGGCACAGTGGCTCACACCTGTAATCCCAGCACTTTTGGAAGCTGAGGTGGCCGGATCACTTGAGGTCAGGAGTTCTAGACCAGCCTGACCAACATGGTGAAACCCCATCTCTACTAAAATACAAAAATTAGCTGGGCATGGTGGTGTGCACCTGTAATCCCAGCTACCCAGGAGGCTGAGACAGGAGAATTGCTTGAACCTGGGAGGTGCAGGTGGCGGTGAGCTGAGATTGTACCACTGTACTCCAGCCTGGGCAACACAGTGAGACTCTGTCTAAAAATAATAATAATAATAATAATAATAATGTATTTAATAATGATAACCATTACAGAGACACTTCCATACATAAAGAATGGTGACCCCCTGTCCCTACAGAAAATACAAAAATAAGCCGGTTATGTTAGCTTGCACCTGTGGTCCCAGCTAATTGGGAGGCTGAGGCAGGAATGTTGCTAGAGCCTGGGAGTGGAGATTGTGGTAAGCTGAGATCGTGCCACTACATTTCAGCCTGGGCAACAGAACAGAGCAAGACTCTGCCTCCAAAAAAGAAAAGGATGGTAAGAATGGTGACTGTTCTAATGATAGCTTTCCAATCTAAATAATGATAGTGACAGTACCATTTTCTAATACTTGATAATCTACAAAACTCTTCACACACAATGGGCTGGTGTATTGATCCAACGTGCTAATAAGCACGTCACAGATCTTTTCTTATTTCATCCGTCCATGCGTAAGGTTGGTATTACTACTTTTCATTTTACAGATAAGGAAATAGGTTTGGAACAGATAAATAATTTGCCCTTAGTCACGTGACTAGGAATGACCAGAACTGGAAGTTAAATCCAGATCTGCAGACACACATCCAGTGGTACTACCACACCTCAGGACTCTTCTCCATTTAAAAGGTGACTAGTGAGCTGGAATGAAACGTCTTAACTTCTGCGACCTAAGGATTCTTCACTTTTCCAGTGGAATGAAATTGTTCAGTGCAGACAGAGGGGTGTGGACTGGGGGAAGTTGTTTCCCATTTTGTGTATTTACGGCTACATTTTAGCTGTTGGTGAGGGGTCACAGTTATAAAACGGTAAGTAATAAAACGGTTTTTTTTTTTTTTTTTGAGACGGAGTTTCGCTTTTGTGGCCCAGGCTGGAGTGCAATGCAATGGTGTGATCTCTGGTCACTGCAGCCTGCACCTCCCAAGTTCAAGTAATTCTCCTGCCTCAGCCTCCCGAGTAGCTGGGATTACAGGCATGCGCCACCATGCCCGGCTAATTCTGTATTTTCAGTAGAGACAGGATTTCTCCATGTTGGTCAGGCTGGTCTCAAACTCCCAACCTCAGGCGATCTGCCCGCCTCAGCCTCCCAACATGTTGGGATTACAGGGGGTGAGCCACCGCACCCGGCCGATCATTTTTCTTGAACAGCTTATGTAGTAGGCACAGGCAATAACATGACAACTCTATTTACACATTTAAAATGAATATTTATGTGTTTCTTGCTTTTGCTTAATCATAAGGAACCAGTCAGTAAGGAACAGGATCAACAGCCACTCAACCCGCTGGCAAATCCACGTGCAGAAATCTCCGTCAAGGTTCCGCCCTCCAAAGGGAATGATGCCATGAAACAGCAAGGGGAGGTGAAGAAGAATAAAAGAGAAAGAAAGGAAGAACGGCAGAAGAATAGGAAAAAAGAAAAGAAGGAACTAAAATTAGAAAATCACCAGGAAAACTCAAGGAATCAGAAGCCTAAGAAGCGTAAAAAGGGACGGGAGGCCGACCTTGAGGAAGTCCCCGAAGCCAACGGCTCTGCAGGGAAGAGGAGCAAGAAACGGCAGCGCGAGGGCGGGCCCGCGGCCACGGAGCATGAGGACGGCCCCGGCAACGAACAGGCAAACGTGGGTGCGCGGAAGAGGAGGCGGAGGCATTCGGAAGGTAAGTGGCTAGCTCACGCTCTGGGATTTGTTCTGAAAACCTGAAGGCTCTGAAGTTGGGATATTTAAGCCTGTTAGCCCTTGTAGGGTTTTTTTGTTTTTTGTTTTTGAGGCTCTGTCTTTCGCCCAGGCTAGAGAGCAGTGGAGTGATCTCAGCTTGCTTCAACCTACGCCTGCCGGATTTGAGCGATTCTTCTGCCTCAGCCTCCCAAGTAGCTGGGATTATTGGGATTACAGGCATGTACCACCAGGCCCAGCTAATTTTTGTTTTTGTTTTGAGACAGAGTTTTCGCTCTTGTTGCCCAGGCTAGAGTACAAATGGTGCGATCTCAGCTCAGCACAAACTCCACCTCCCAGGTTCAAGCTAATCTCTTGCCTCAGCCTTTTGAGTAGCTGGGATTACAGGTGTGCACCACCACACCTGGCTAATTTTGTAGTTTTAGTAGAGACAGGATTTCTCCATGTTGGCCAGGCTGGTCTCAAACTCCTGATCCACCCGCCTTGGCTTCCCAAAGTGCTGGGATTACAGGCATGAGCCACCATGCCTGGCCTCAATTTTTGTATTTTTAGTAGAGATGGGATTTCACAGGCTGGTTTCCAAGTCCTGACCTCAGGTGATCTGCCCACCTTATCCTCCCAGAGTGCCAGGATTACAGGCGTGAGCCACGGAGCCTGGCTAGACCTTGTGTTTTGAACCAAGTAGGGGGGGAGCATAAGCTTTGTGGCCAGGCAGAGCTGGGCCCTGCCCAGGCAAATGACCTCACCACTCAACTCCCTTCACTCCATCTCCAGCGTGGAGGAGGGGGTTTTATAAGCGGGGGCTGGGCTGCCTGGAGAAGTGAGATGGTGTGTGGAGTGTGCCTAGCTTAACATAAGGCCTTATTAAATGGTAGCTGCTAGCATAGATGCACAATCTTTGTTTACAGAATCTTTCTAATTACCTAGCTGAAACAGACTCTAAGAAGAAAAAGATGAAGCTCCCAGAGCATCCTGAGGGTGGAGAACCAGAAGACCATGAGGCTCCTGCAAAAGGTAAGTCACTGCCATTGTGTGAAGAGCACAGCTGGGCATGCTGCTTTTGCCGATAGTCCCAGCTACTCCGGAGGCAGGGGCAGGAGGGTCACTTGAGCTCAGAAGTTTGAGACTGTAGTGAGCCATGGGCATACCACTTTCAAAAAGAGAGTGAGAGAAAGAGAGAGAGAAAGAGGAAGGAGGCCAGGGAGGGAGGGCGAGGGAGAGAGCAAAGAAAGAAAGGGAAAAATGCACTGTCCCTTGTAGGTTGGGAGAGGGGCCGGGAGATGCCCCCTTCTGGGGAAGGAAGGTATAAAGCAGGCACTTCTGGTAGGGTCTGACCCTCAGAGGCATGTGTAAGAGTTTGAAAGTAAAATCAGTTCTCTGGGATTTGAGTCAGTCTTACAGTGCCTCTCACCTGCTGTCTTTTAGGAGAAAAGTAAAGCAGTCTGGTTTGGAGATGGATGTTATCTTTGGAATTTAAACCCAATAAAGCTTTCTGAGACCCTGTTCCCTTTCCCTCCTCCCAACTCTCTTGTTCTTGCCTTTCATTGTTCTCTTAGAAGTCCCCTCGGCTCTGCCCCTGCCCATCTCTGGGCCTGTTACTGGGGTCTCCTTGTTTGTATCACCAACCTCAGAATCTCAGGCCTGAAGCACTCCTGCCTGTTGAGGGGTAGCAAGTCGTTATTTCTCTGCCATCTCCCCTAGCCCCCGGGATCCTGCGGTTAAGAACAGGTCCAAGGACTCAAATGGGCATCAGCTTTATTAGCAGAGTTCAGTGACTACCAGCATTGGGTTAGATCTCTTAGCTGAAAACCCCGTTTTCAAGTTTGTAAACAGTAGTGTCCCCATACCTGTGGCATGAAAAATTCCGGAAATAAACAATTGATGTTTTCAATTGTGTGCTGTTCTGAGCAGTGTGGCAAGATTTCTTGCTGTCCTGCTCTGTGCCTTCTTCACCACAAGAAGGGTAAGTATAGGCCAATAAGATACTTAGAGAGAGACCACATTCACATAACTTTTATTACAGTATATTGTTAAAATTGTTGCATTTTATTATTAGTTATTGTTAGCCTTTTGCTGTGCCTAGTTATACTGAAAAGACAGAGTATATATAGGGTTCAATACCATAGTGGTTTCAGGCAGCCACTCGGGTCCCAGGAACTGTACCCCTGCAGATAAAGGGGGACAACTAGAATGGCTTTTTTTGTTGTTACATTTTTTGTTTTGGGATCCTTGTAAACTCACATGCAGTTAGTTGTAAGGAATAATGGAGACTCAGGTGTCCTCATGTATCCGCGTTCCCATTACCTTGTTGCCACCCTGGATGGCACTTTGCACCACCATAGGACAGCATCTCAGCCCGGATGCTGACACATGCCTTTTTACCTCCATCACCGCCAGGCTGCCTCCAGCTGCCCTTCTGCAGCCGCTGCCCCTTCCGTCACTCCCAGCCCCTCCTTAGCCTCTGGCAATCACTAACCTGTTCTTCATTTCTGTAATCTCCAGAATGTTCTATGAATGGAATCATATGGTATGTAACCTTTTGAAATTGACTCTTCCTCAGCATTTTCTCTGGAGATTCACCCATGTTGCTGAACTGATAATAATCTATTCATTTTATTGGTGAGGAGTAGCCCGTGTTATGCATGCATCACAGTTTCTTTCATCATTCACCTGTTGACGGACACCTGGGTGGTTTCTAATTTCTGATTATTAATGAATAAAGCTGCAGTGAACATTGATGTGCAGGTTTCTGTGAACTGCACAGTGAACGAAGTCAGTTTTTCTGACGTAGATGTCCAGTGCTGTGTCATACGGTAGTTCCATAATCTTTTAAAGAAACTGCCAGCTCAATTACAAACGTTGGTGAGGATGTGGAGAAAAAGGAACGTGGTGCACTGTTGTGGGAATGTAAGTTAGTACAGCCGCTATGGAGAACTGTTGGGAGCTTCCTCAGAAACCTAACACTAGAGCTCCCATGCAATCCAGCAGTCCCACTGTACGGTGTGTACTCAAAAGAAGGGACATCGCTGTGTGGAGGAGTTATCTGCACTCCCATGCTTGTTGCCACAGTGTTAACAGTAACCAAGGTTTGAGTGACCTAAGTGTCCATCAGCAGATGAATGGATACAGAAAATGTGGTGCATGTACACAATGGAGGGTTCAGCCATGAAAAGGAGGTCCTGTCGTTTGCAGCAATGTGGATGGAACTGGAAGTCATTACACGAAGTGAAATAAGCCAGGCACAGGAAGACAAGCATAGCATGTTTTCACTTGTTTGTGGGATCCAAACATCAAAACAATTGAACTACTGGGAAGAGTAGTGGGAGGCTGGGACGAGGTGGGGGTGGTTAATGGGTATCCAAAAAACAGAAAGAATGAGTAAGACCTAGTATTTGATAGCACAACAGGGTGTCTCTTGTCAATAATAATCAAATTATACAATTAAAAATAATTGAAGAGTATAATTGGGTTGTTTGTAATACAAAAGGTTAAATACTTGAGGTGATGGATGCCCCATTTACTCTGATGTGATTATTACACATTGCATATCTGTATCAAAATATCTCACGTACCCCATAGATACCTACTGTGTACCCACAACAATTTAAAATGAAAAAACTGCCAACTCTTTCAGGCGTGGCTGTACACATTTTCTTTTTTTCTTTTGAGACGGAGTTTTGTTCTTGTTGCCCAGTATGGAGTGCAATGGTGCGATCTTGGCTCACTGCAACCTCTGCCTTCCAGGTTCAAGCAGTTCTCCTGCCTCAGCCTCCCAGGTAGCTGGGATTACAGGCATGTGCCACCACACTGAGCTAGTTTTGTATTAGTAGAGGACAGGGTTTCTCCATGTTGGTAAGGCTGGTCTCAAACTCCCTACCTCAGGTGACTGGCCCACCTCAGCCTCCCAAATTGCTGGGATTACAGGCGTGAGCCCCCGTGCCCATTGGCTGTACACATTTTCTGTTCGCACCAGCGGTGTGTAAGTGATCCGTTTCTCCACATCATAGTCAGTACTAGGCGCTGTCACTGTATTTTTGCCATTCTGATAGATGTGTGGTACCAGCTCATTGTGGTTTGAATTTGTGTATCTCGGTTGTTTTTGTGGGTTTTTTTTTTTGTTTTTAACTGTTGAGATTTGAGAGTTTTTAAATATTTTCTAAATATTACTCCTTTGTGGGACATAGGGTTTGTGAATTTTTTTTCAGTCTGTTGCTTGTTTTTTCATCATAATAGTCTTTTTTGGGACAAATGGTTTTAATAAAGTTCAGTTTATCAATTTATTTTTCATGGATTGTGCTAGAACTCTTTACCTAGCCCTAGAGTCTAAAGATGTTTTTGTTTTCTAACTATCTTATTGAATAGCTTTTTTACAAATCAACATTTTATGTATTTCAGGTGTACAACTTAATGTGTTACTATATTTTATTTTTAGTTTTGAGACTGGGTCTCACTGTTGTCGAGGGTGGAGTGCATTGGTGTGAGCATGGCTGCTGCAGCCTCAACTCCTGAGCTCAAGCAACCTTCCTGAGTAGTTAGTACCACAGCCACATGCCACTACACACAGCGACTTTGTTCATTTTTGTTAGGACAGAGGTCTTGCTGTGTTGCCCTGGCTGGTCTTGAACTCCTGGGCTCAAGCAATCCTTCTGCTTCAGCCTCCCAAAGTGCTGGGATTACAAGCATGAGCCACCATGCCCAGCTCAACTTAATGTTTCATTATACGTGTACATTGTGACGTATCACTACAATCAGGCTAATTAACACATTTGTCACCTCACATAGTTTACATTTGTGTGTGTGTGTGTGTGTGTGTGTTGAGAACACTCAAGATAGACCCTTTCAGCAAATTTCAGGTCTATGTTAAATGCTTCCTAGTCTTACCCTTTATATTGAAGTCCATGATCCATTTTGAGTTAGGTTTTTTGCAAGGTGTAAGATCCTGTTTACGCTTTCTGTTTTACCCGGCTTTCTCTCGAATGACTTTGGTGGTTGTAGAGGGGCGTGGCCTCGTTGCTGCCACGTTGGGGTGGAAATCCAGGTTCCACTCAGCCTCCGTCAGCACCTGAGGGCGGCCACTTCTTGCTGCTGCCGGGCAGGGCTGCCGGGCAAGGCTCCACTGACGTCACAGCAGGGGCAGCCTCATTGCTGGCCTGTGTGGATGAGAGCCCTGAGTTCCTGGTTGGCCTTCTGTGACACCGTTCCTCATTACGGTCTTCCAAGGGTAGAGAGCTCGGGCTCTCCACTCGGCTTTTGCTGGTGCGAATGGGGGTGGAGCCTCCTTTTTTTCTGTGAGGTGTGGCTGCGGTAAGGTGATTATTGTATACAAGTTTTCTGTCTGGTTAGGCTGCCCTTTCCTGGTCCTTTGCCAAGAGAGAGCAGGCTTCTGTTGGGGCTTTTTTGTCTGTGCCTGCTGGTGTTCAGTTGCTGGCTGCTTCAGCTCCAGGTCTGGGGTATAGGCGGCAAGCAGCTCACCCGCTGCTGCTCCGCGGGCCCCGGGGTCCCAGCTGGTCTCTGCCTTTCCGAGTCGTCTTCAGTTTCTTGTGTATATAATTTCAGGGTTCTCGGTTGGTGGGCGGGAGGAATGGGGAAAGTGTGTCTACCCCATCTGCTCAGAAGTGGAAGTCCCCTAGATGAGTATTTTCAGTCCTTCTGTAGCAGTCGGTGGTGTCCTCTCACTCATTCCAGGTCAGGCTGCTTTTGCTCATCTTCGGCCTCCCTACTGTGCATAGATAGCCCATGATCTTAGTGGGTGCTTAGGAAATCTGTGTCGAGTTCATTAAATAGAACTCGTCATCTCGGAGGTTGTCATGCCGATGGCACTTGGGCACCTGCTCGCTCTAAGAGCCAGTCCTTGACGGGTAGTGCATGCTTCCAGGACACTGGGATTGAACAGACACAGTGATTGCTCCATGGTGCAGTGGAGTCCGGTCACTAGAGGGTCAGCTCATTTCCTGGAAGCAGAAAGGTGTTGCGGAAGGTGTTTCTTTACCCTTCTTGTTGTACAGCAAAACAAACGTCTTACATATTCTTATTTATTTTGTAGGTAAATTCAACTGGAAGGGAACAATTAAAGCAATTTTGAAACAGGCCCCAGACAATGAAATAGCAGTCAAAAAGTTAAGGAAAAAGGTATGGCACGTGAACAAACCCATGTGTATAACAGCTGGGGAGAACTGATTTTTAAATGTACAATTGTTTTTTCTTTTTTCACTTAAAACACTGAAAATGTGTGTGTGTGTGTGTCTCAGTGATTTTCAGGCTGCTCCAAAGCCCCTCACACAGCCTCAGCCAGGGTGGTGCCTAGATTTTGGACTGATTTCAAAGACTTTGAAGAGAGGCTCCCTTTATTTAATTTTTGTTATGTTTGGAAATTATTGTTTTAGATATTTGCTCTCTTTTGCCTATCCCAGAGCGATGGTTTCTTCTCCTTTATTTCACTTTGTATCTCAGGGTGACTCATGTAGCCAAGCCCCCACACGTGGCTGCTGCCTGGGTTTCCACAAGCAGAGCACACCTGTGTAGCTTGCACCTGGGTTTCTTTCATTTTTTACTGTTGTTCTATTTCTGGGTTAAAGACAGGACATTTTAAGATAAATTTCCAGGTCAAATACACTCATTTGGTGTTTGCTTTTCTTTGTGAAGGTTTTAGCTCAGTACTACACAGTGACCAACGAGCATCACAGATCGGAAGAGGAGCTCCTGGTCATCTTTAACAAGAAAGTCAGCAAGAACCCCACCTTTAAGTTATTAAAAGACAAAGTCAAGCTTTTGAAATGAGCATTTCTGTATTTAAAAATGGATTCCATTCTACTAACTTCTTCCTTTCACTGCTGTTTATAAAATGTGTAATGAATTCCAACAACTCAAATTTTGCTTTCTGAAGCTGTATTTTTAAGTTAAGAAAAAATATATTTTTGGTATAACTTTTATGAAAAAAATAAAATATATTCTTGTCCAAACTTGTAAATTTGTTGTGGCAAAAGTTATTTACTTTACAAAATAGTTTTGCGTGAAAAAGTTTTTTCCATGTAGTATAGCAACAGGTCAAAAAGTAATTCCTCTTTTGATCATACTAAAAAGTGTTCATTTTAACCACATCATTTATACACTTTTTTTGCTGTTTTTTGAGAAAGGGTCTCTGTTACCCAGGCTGGTGTGCAGTGGTGCAGTCTCAGCTCACAGCAGCCTCCGCCTCCCAGGTTCAAGCAATTCTCATGCCTCCGTCTCCTGAGTAGCTGGGATTGCAGATCCCCCCCCACCACATCTGGCTAATTTTTGTATTTTTAGTAGAGACAGGGTTTCACCATGTTGGCCAGGCTGGTCCCTAACTGACCTTAAGTGATCTGCTTGCCTCAGCCTCCCAAAATTCTGGAATTACAGGCATAAGCCACTGTGCCCAGCCATTTCTATACATATTTTGTTTCATTTATTTATTTTTGAGACAGAGTTTCACTCTTGTTGCCCAGGCTGGAGTGCAGTGGTGTGATCTTGGCTCACTGCAACCTCCACCTCCCGGGTTCAAGCGATTCTGCCTCAGCCTCCCAAGTAGCTGGGATTATAGGCATGGGCCACAACACCTAGCTAATTTTGCATTTTTAGTAGAGATGGGGAGTTTCTTCATGTTGGTCAGGCTGGTCTTGAACTCCCCACCTCAGGTGATCCACCCACCTTGGCCTCCCAAAGTGTTGGGATTAAAGGCATGAGCCACCACACCCAGCTTTCTACACATTTTTGATTATGTTTTGTGCATTTGTTTTTTGTGGTGCTAGAATGTGTATGTGAGCTGCAGTATCTGGTCTGGGAATGGTCAGTCTTTTGTATGTGCTAATCCTGTAGCTAGAAGTTTGGTGCTGTAAAGGAGGCTTCTCCGTAACAGGTTCATCCACACTGGCATCGTCTGCCTTCAGCCAAAGAGATGAATTTGTCAGTGGCTGGATTCAGGAGCGTGGCCTGTGACTGGAAGCCAGAGGTGCAGGAAAACAGCTCAGCAGAGACTGAGTTCGTTGTGCAGCTGTGTGGCTGCTCCAGTGCACTGACTGGACTGAATGCTTTCAGAAACTGTTTGAAGTCTTGGTTGATTGTGGTGGAGGACAGCCTTTCTGCCACCTCACTGATGGTTCAGTAGGTTTTGCCCACAAGACCCTTAAAAGCTGGTGCTCTGGTACAGATCACCCCTTAGCCAATTTCATTAATATCTCATCAATTCCCCCACAAAAGCAAGTCTGGGACATGGAACAAGTGGTTTAAAGGGTTAGGAGGGAGAGGTGGGGTGAGGCCCTGTCTGAGCCTCTGAGTGCCCAGAAGCCCATGGAGCAGCTTCTCTCTGGAACTTGCCAGCCAAGCTAAGCAGCATCTTGAGTTCAGTGCCTATTAGGGATGTGCCATGTGTAAGTGCAGTGATGGAATTGAGTGGCACTGTCAGAATGAGTAGGACACAGGCTTTAGAATCAGGCCAGAGTCAGGTCCTGGCTTTGTCCCTTACTGGCTAACCTCTGAACCTCATTTTTCTTAGCTGGACAATGGGATGGTAAAGGCTGTGAGTGAATGAACTAATTCATATAAAGGACACAGCACAGTTCCTTAAACCCAGTAGATACTCTCAGTGGGTGCTGTCACTGCTCTTACTCTTACCAGTTACAATTTTTGGACCATGAGAAGCTTTAGATGTTCTGGAAAGCAAAAGAAAACTGAGGAAGTGAAACAACCAAGACCACACACCTAATTAGGGACAAAAGCAGAACAACTGTGACTCCCAAGTCCAGTCCAGAAGTCTTCCTATGCCGGCACTCCAGGGAGCAGAGAGAGATGCGCTCCGCAATTCTCACCTGGGAACAGTGGGCAGACGCAGGGCCACCCCATGAGAGTCACATGATGCTCCACAGGACCATGGTATGTCACTGTGACTGTATTTGTTTTCACTCTGCTGATAAAGATATACCTGAGACAGGGTAATTTATAAAGAAAAAGGCGGCTGGGCATGGGGGCTCATGCCTGTGATCCCAGCACTTTGGAAGGCCAAGGTGGGCGGGTCACCTGACACCAAGAGTTTGAGACCAGCCTGACCAACGTGGAGAGACCCCGTCTCCACTAAAAATACAAAATTAGTTAGGTGTGGTAGGTGCCTGTAATCCCAGCTACTTGAGAGGCTGAGGCAGAACTGTTTGAACCCAGGAGGTGGAGGTTGCAATGAGCCGAGATCATGCCATTGCACTCCAGCCTGGACAAGAGTGAAACTTTGTCTCAAAAAAACAAAGAGGTTTAATGGACTCATAGTTACAGTTTCATGTGGCTGAGGCGGTAGGGATGGAAGCCTGGGAGGGGGGTGGGGGAGTGGGCCTGTCTTCCAGAGAGGCAGATAAGAGACAAGAGAGAATTTGTGCAGGAAAAACAGCTTTTTCTAAAACTATCAGATCCTGTGAGACGTCTTCACTATCACAGGAACAGCACAGGACCATCCCCATGATTCAATGACCTCCCACCGGGCCCCTCGCACAACACACAGCAATTGTGGGAGCTACAATTCAAGATGAGATTTGAGTAGGGACACAGTCAAACCGTATCAGTGATCTTTATTTTTCAGTCAAAACTGTCAGTTACCATGATACATTTAAGGCAAAGTTAGGCAAATGTGACACAGTTAAAAGGTGTCCTTAGTGCTGCAGCCGTCTTCATTTCTGTCATTCTTGCCATTCATCACCCCAGGTTCCCAAGTTAGAACTGGGGCTGGCTGTGCTGCTCGGGAATTCCAGCAGAGCATTTATCCCACGGAGGCTGGAGGTGACCTTAGCTCTCTCAATTCTACAAGGACAAAGAAGCAAAGCTAATTAATGCTGGTGACTCTGATGTTCCTCGTCAAGGAAGGGTCTGCAGTCAGTGACAGGAAGGACTAGCTGTATGTGCAGTGGCCCCAGGGGTCTGTCTGCAAAGCATGATCCAGGGGTCATTCCAGTGTCCTTGTAGAGACCACCCTTTTCAATTTTGGCAGCTGCCTGCCTGACTTGGATTCCAAACACACATGATATTGAAGTTCCCAGGGACTTTAGAAAGTGATCTAATGATATTCCTGTAAGGCTTTTCAGCTTCATTTTGTCAAAGTTGGGTATAAGGTTGAATTCTACCATGTTCTGCCTGTTCTCAGGCTGGTCTGAGGAACCTGACACTTGGGCATCTCCAACCCTGCCAGGCATGCATTTTGACATACTGTGGTTGTCTTTCCTTGATGTCCTATTTTCTGGGGATTCCTGGTGTTTGTCAACTGTGCGTACCAGCCATTTCCTGTGATGCTGCTTAACAAGCAGGATTTGGGAAAAGATGGACTCTGTTAACCTCCAAAAACTTAAAATGTAGGACTGTTGCATGCCCTTAATTTGAGACAGAGTAGGTGCTTAGCATGCCAGTGAGGAAACAGGCTCAGAACAATGAGTGGGAAGGCAGGAAGTGAACCAAGGTTGCCCTTCCTTCTGCACCTGGATGAGGCAGCTAGACCGAGACTGATGCAGAAGAAATCAAAAGAACACAAATGAGCTGGGAGCAGTGGTTCACACCTGTAATCCCAGCACTTTGGGAGACCGAGGCAGTTGGATCACTTGAGGTCAGGAGTTTGAGACCAGGCTGGTCAACATGGTGAAACCCCATCTCCACTAAAAATAAAATTAGGACCAGGCACGATGGCTCATGCCTATAATCCTAGCACTTTGGTAGGCCGAAGTGGGTGGATCACCTGAGGTTGGGAGTTCGAGACCAGCCTAACATGGAGAAACCCCCCTCTCCACGAAAAAAAAAATACAAAATTAGCCAGGCATGGTGGCACATGCCTGTAATCCCAGCTACTCAGGAGGCTGAGGCAGGAGGATCACTTGAACCCAGGAGGCGGAGGTTGAGGTGAGCTGAAATCATACCATTGCACTCCAGCCTGGGCAACGAGCGAAACTCCATGTCAAAAAAAAAAAAAAGAAAGAAAGAAAGAAAGAAAAAGAAAAGAAAAAAAATTAGCCAGGCATTGTGGTGTGTGCTGCAATCCCAGCTATTCGGTAGCCTGAGGCAAGAGAATCACTTGAGCCCGGGAAGCAGGGGTTGCAGTAAGCGAGGTCATGCCACTGCACTTCAGCCTAGGCAACAGTGAGGCTGTCTCAAAAACAGGAGAAAAAAAATGCAAATGGGTTGATGGCAGAGGGGAATTTACATGGAGAAAGCTTAAAAATTGCAAAATCACTCAAGTGTTCCCTTGGTGAAGTAAGATGATCCCTCTTCTCTGAGGAACTAAGACTATTTCAGAATCTCATTTCTAGTTCTCTGTTTAAACCCACCTCAGGGTGGTCAGGGGAACAATGAAAGAATAAAAGTCAAGATTAATCATCAGCATTTTTACAGGTCTGTAGATTTTTGTGAATATCTATGAAAAACTCTCACATTATCTTTCTAAGCATCTAAATTTCTTTCGAAGTTAAAGCTTGAGCTGACCAGGTCCTCTTAAACAATAAACTTTGGTAATTTCACTACTCTCTAATTGCCTCTCTTGTCCAAAATAGATTTCTAGGAATTAAACATTGTTTTTTTAAGAAGCCGCCTTTGGTACAGATTGCTTTCTTTTAGATAGCACTTTTGCAGTCAAATAAAGAAAGTTTTAAGAGATCAAGTGGTTTTATCCAATTCATCTCCATTAGTGAAAGCTATTGAGAGTACGTTGTGGTTCTTTATTCTATCACTGAAAACTGATGCTCCTAGCTGGTGTTATTCTTTTTTTTTTTTTTTGTCTCAATGATGAACTGGGACTCCAGCATAAAGCAGATAATTGCGTGTTGTTGACTTTTGCCTGAATATAGAACCATGACACCACAGCACTCAAGATAGTTAACTCCTTCCCTTGTGGAAGGAAATTGGAGATCAATTATTATCCTTATCCAAGATAAGAGAAAGGCATGTCCTATATATTTTCCTATTCTTTGTGGTTAATTTCAGAATATATTCAGCCTTAATCCCTTCTCCAAATTAAGCTTTCAAGAAATGGCTAACATAGGCCTTTTAAATTTCTCTTTTACTCAGGGAGCATATTATGTTTCTCATTCACTAAGTACAGAAAGCATTACTTTATAGTGATTCCTGAATTACGTGTGGGCAGGAGGTTGTGGAGTTAATCCTTGTTCTCATTCCAGTAAGCTGGATTTCAGCAAAAGGGTTGGAATCTGGAGAAAGCTCATCCTTTTCAATTTCATAAGAGGAAATACTGACCATAAGCATGTGGTGGGATTTCACATTGAAAGTGATTCTGGTAGGCTGGGCTCAGTGTCTCACACCTGTTAACATAATCTCAACACTTTGGAAATCCAAAGCGGGTGGACTGCTTGAGCCCAGGAGTTCAAGGCCAGTCTGCGCAATGTAGCGAGACCCTGACTCGTATTTAAAAAAATACAAAAAACTGCCTGGTGTGGTGGCACATGCCTGTAGTCCTCCCAGCTACATGAGAGGATCACTTGAGCCTGCGAGGCGAGGCTGCAGTGGCCCAAGATCATGCCACTGCACTCCAGCCTGGATGGCAGAGTGAGACTCTGTCTCAAAAAATACAAATAAACAAATAACGAGATTCTGTTGGGAAGTTGCCTTACATGTCTTTAGTTTTGCTTTCCCTACAAACATGTTTAGACCTCTGTCCTCTGGTACCCTTGCTGTCTGCAATTCTGCACCAAGCCCTCGTGTCACTGGACCCATTCTAAGTCACAGGGACTAAGAAAATCATTCCAGATTTCCCATCTGGGCTGAGACCTGGGCCAGGTACTCGGGCACTGAGGTCTTCAGGAAAGAAGAGCCAACACTGAGGCCAACACAAGAAATGTTATGAGGTGTTCTGGTTAGAATGTAGGCCTGAGAGGGACTGGTTAATTCTGCCTGAGTGGGGATGGAGGGCCCCAGGTTATTTAAGGCCCCTGGATTGATTCTTGGAAGGTAGATAGTTATCTATTACCTGACTGATGTTTTAAGACATTGTTTCCATATTCCTGCCACTCTATTTTCACCCAGACTGTATGAGGTAACATGTTCTCAACAGGGTCCACTAGCCAGAATGAGACTTGATGTTGAATCTAAGCTTTGTATCTAACTCACTAAAGGTCCCTGCATGGGCAGGCTATTTAGCATCTCTATATAATTCAGGGGCTTTTCTCTTACACGAACTTTCTATGGTAGATGAGTGAAATCGACATACTGTACACAAAGTAGCACACAGTAGGTGTCTGAAAATATCTCCTCTTCAAGTACAGAAGTGCACAAACCCAGCAATGTCTACCACTGACCGTCCGAGGCACTGGCCTGACAGAGAGGCTCTGACACCTTGCTTTTTCCTGCATGAAGCTCTTCAAGTGCATGGACTGCAGCAAAGAACCAGTGTGGCCAAACCACACAGTATTTAAATGAAGAAATCCACTTCAATTTTTGAAATGACACTCTACAGTTACTGTGCAACCATTTTTCTGAACAGAGACACAATCCTACAACTGCCAAACCTATATGAGTTAATTTTTTTTTTTTTAATCAGAGTTTCACTCTTGTTGCCCAAGCTGGAGTGCAGTGGTGCAATCTTGGCTCACTGCAACGTCTGCCTCCCGGTTCAAGCAATATCTTTTGCCTCAGCCTCTCAGGTAGCTGGGACTACAGGCATGCGCCACCATGCCCAGCTACTTTTGTATTTTTAGTAGAGACAGGGTTTCTCCACGTTGGTCAGGCTGGTCTCGAACTCCCGACCTCAGGTGACTGGCCCACCTCAGCCTCCCAAAATGCTGGGATTACAGGCGTGAGCTACTGTGCCCAGCCATGAGTTAATATTTTAATTCAAGTTTTCTATTGAAGTATGGTGTACATATTGAAACATGTAATATGCAAATGTACTGCTCCACAAGTTTCAAAGAGTGCACACACCTCAATCAAGAAACAGACTATTCGGCCCACCTTACTTCTCTCTGCATGGACTGGCTTTGCCTGGTTTTGAACTTGATGTAAATGAAACCATACAGCATGTACCTGTTTGTGTCCTGCTTCTTTCACCCAACATTCCATGAGATTCGTCTCTTGATGAAACATTCGGCTGTACAGCCTGGTGTGGTAGCCCATGCCTGTAATCTCAGTGCTATGGGAGACAGAGGTGGGAGAATCACTCGAGCCCAGGAGTTCAAGAGCAACCTGGGCAACATAGTGAGACCCCATCTCTACAAAAACCAAAAAGTAAAAACATTAGCCAGGTGTGGTGGCGCATGACTGTCAGCACCTGTAGTCCCAGCTACTCCAGAGGCTGAGGCAGGAGGACCGTTTCAGCCCAGGAGTTGGAGGCTGCAATGAGCTACAATCATGCCACTGCATGCCAGCCTGAAGACAGAGCGAGATTGTCTCAAAAAATAAAAATGAAGGCTGGGCTCGGTGGCTCACGCCTGTAATCCCACCACTTTGGGAGGCTGAGGCGGAAGGATCACTTGACGTCAGGAATTCAAGGCAGGCCTGGCCAACATGGTGACACCCCATCTCTACAAAAATTACAAAAATTAGCTGGGTGTGGTGGTATGCACCTATAATCCCAGCTACTTAGGAGGCTGAGGCCCGAGAATCACTTGAATCTGGGAGGTAGAGGCTGCAGTGAGCAGAGATGGTGCCACTGCACTTCAGCCTGGGTGACAGAGTGAGACTATGTCAAGAGAAGAAAAGAAAATAAATGAAAAGAAAAGGAAGGAACGAGAGAGGGAGGGAAGGAAAGAGAAAGAAAAGAAAGTAAAAGAAAAGAAAGAAGGAAAAGAAAAGAAAAGGAAAGAGAAAAAAAA